ACACACACCTTTCTAGTTGTATTATGGAGAAATAAAACTCACTTCTTGTGTATATCAATGTTATGGTCTAACCTGCCTTCAACCCTCACCATGCTTTTAAACCCTGACATGCAAACCTTCTGCAGAAAGGGCGGGAGTCTCCCACAAGTGCCATTTTCTACTGCAGCCGTCAACTACTAGCGCCCTCTATCAGACTGACCATGGATTGCATATGTCACGAGGCAGAAGCGAACAAAACCATAACAATACAAAATTTGGTCACTACATCTGGTAAATCTGCAGCTGTTTACTATGCTAACAGTATGAGCTTTGATCCATGAACATCCGCATTTACAGGCACACAGTCAAACGCATTCTTTAAGTGCTGTTGTTTCTTGAAAAGGGCTCTGGATCACCTGCATGCCTCCATTCAATCCCACTACGAAATAAAAGGGATTTGATGTATTAATGGATTAGAATTAGGATGTATATCATCTTTCCTCTTCTCGTGTATTTGGTACAAATTGAAAGAAAGAAAAAAGATTTAAAAAATATAAAAATCACCCATCTTTGTCTTGTTTTCTAGTAGAATCTAAACAATCTTAAAACAAGATGAATTTATTTGAGAAGCAAAGAGATGAAGACCTTTTCTATTTTTTTACCCCATTTTTTTTTCTTGATTTAAGCATGAACCTATATATATATATATATATATGTACAGTGTGTGTGTATATATATATATATATTCTTCGGAAAAAAATCTTAACGGATTATTTAAGAATGTTTGGATATTTTGTCTGGAAAACAACACAAAAATACAGAGAAATTATTTTTGCTGTGTAATTAGAAAATGAGAATATTGATTCTGCTGTTTACAATTCAAACTCAGAGATGTTTAAAGAATGTCATCAAAGTGACACCAGAACACAAGAGCCTCAGGAACAGCACAAGAGGTGTAAGTATTAAACTGCTTAGCTGAACCCCATTCTCATCCTTTCACCATCTGAATGTGAACCACTCAACACTAGTAGCAGCCTGGAATAAAAAGGGAAAACGGGAATATTTTTGTAAATTAAAAGTTTTACATATTATTTATTTGCTATTTGTTGTCTTTGAAGAGAATGGGTGAGCCAGAGACTGATGGAATAGATTTTTCTTTCTTTTTTTCCCTTTGGCATTCTGTCCGTTGTCTTCCCCATCCTCCTGTTTTCGCAGTGGTTTTGTATCTATATCGATATTAACTGTTTAGACTGTTTCAGAAACTCTGTGATATCGGAAATTAAACACAAATGAATAAAAAAACACCAAGTGTCTTAAAACATTGTATTGCCATTGTTTTTAATGCCAAGTATACTTGTAAATGTTTTTGTTTCAGATGTGGCCTCAAAAATATTACTATTATTATTATAACATTTATTTGAAAAAGTGCTGTAGCCCACTGCTGTAGTTAATATTGTTCATTGATATGAAATAAATATTTATGAAATTTACCATGCAGTTTGTGTTTTAACGGGTGTAAGTAGACTACAGACATGCTTATTAACTAGCATTGTTGTGTGGTCTATTGAACGGTTTTTCGAGACAGCAACAGAGTTCAAGTCAGTAGTTCTTATTTGCTGTCGACATGAAAGGACAACGAAGTTTTATAATTACCTATAGGTGGTAGTGTTGTTCAGTCAAACTGTTCAGCTCATTCAGCGAGTCAACATCACACACAGGGGCGTGTCTACGTGGTGGCCAGTGGTGGAACCGGGCCCCCCTGAAATTTGGCTGGCCCCCCCAGGTACCCGTTATCTGTATGCACCAAGGGTCTGAGAGTAACGCAATTTCAATTCTCTGTGTATGTGCTGTATATGTGGAAGAATTGACAATAAAGCAGACTTGACTTGACTTGTTTAGTGAGTGTACACGATGTATTATAACATACATCGTTCCTCAAACACAACCTGCCCCCGACTGCCCCCCCAATTTAAAATGCTCTAGACACGCCCCTGATCACACATTTACGCGGAGTTCGCTACCAGTGTGAGAGCAATCCTCGCCGAGAAGTGTGCGCGTGGTTGTCCTCGGGGACGCCGAAGCTACGATTTTCCGAAAGCTGCAACCTGATTGGTCCCCGTCTCTAAAGCCCATCCCTAGCCCTAACACAGGGTTGTCCAAACTCGGTCCTGGAGGGCGATAGGTCTTGCCTCAACACACCTGACTGGAAGTTTCTATGCCTAGTAAGAGCTTGATTAGCTGGTTCAGGTGTGTTTAATTAGGGTTGGAGCTAAACTCTGCAGGACACCGGCCCTCCAGGACCGAGTTTGGACAGCCCTGCCCTAACAGGACCTTAATCAGGTTATAGACTCCATATTGAATTTAACGAGGATGAAAACGTTGAGGGATAATGCCACGTACTGTATAGGCCGGGACACACCAAGACGACTGCAAAGAACTAGCAGCGACGAAAGCCCCTCACGTCGGCAGCGTCGGACCAAAAAGCTTCGCTCGAACACACCGCACAGACTACAGCCGACGGCAAACTAACACATGCGTTCTGCACATGTGTGAGAGGAATTAACTGTATATCAGCAACTATCAATAGTATATGTTCGTTATTCAAAATGAGAAACGGAAACAAAGATATACGAGATAAACGCAGATACGAAACGTAAACAAAGCAGCTCTTGCTTACCATTTTGAATATCGGTAACGTTGATAACTTTAATCATTTTAAGCGACTCGTGTTGTTATAAAAACATTCGCGTATTAGAATGATTGGGAAAGATCACGTAACATTTAAACAACCTTCTGTCTGTACCGCCTTCATTTACGTGCTTGTTTTCATCACTTTCGCTTTAATTCTCGGGCACTGACTCGTTTGCTAAACTGAACATCCAATTGCCTTGTCCAAAATAAATACCCACACTTGCGGTCTTGGCCACTTGAGAGCGCGTGCGCGCGACAGGAAGTAAGTGCACAAGACTGTCCCAGGTCTTAAAGGGGTCATATGATGCGATTTCAATTTTTCCGTTCTCTTTGGAGTGTTACAAGCTCTTGGTGCATAAAGAAGATCTGTAAAGTTGCAAAGACTAAACGGCTTGTGTACTGCATCATCACTGTGTCTGTCATGCGACTGTGTCTTGATAATTACTTTGAAAGCTGAAGCTCGCAATTAAGGGGCGTTACATTTCCGACGCGTGCTTGTGGTGTTCGGCCAATCATATGACCCCTTTAAAAACTCCAGAGCGCAGTGCCCTTAACGCACACTAAATCCACACTATAGTGGCTTAGTGTATCCCATCATGCACCATGTTCTGGAAATAAATCGTGAGACTTTTTGCCAAGATCTCGCGAGAGGTCACGGAAACCTTTCCAATGTAAGTTAAATATTAATATAATAATTAGATATTACATATAATTTGGTAGTAAAACAAAATGCTACACATTTTATTGGTGCAAAGGTGCGTATATTTATTTTGTACATCATTTGCAACTGCTTTTTATCACTTAATTAGAAGCACCAGAAATTAAATTGTGACATCTCTGTTATAGGGACTACTGAACAGACATTTAGAAGTTTATTTTAAAATGCAAAGTATTGAAAATAAAAATTAAAACTCTGTAAACACTTGCGTTTTTACAACACTGTAAGTGTGTCGCATCAGGTAATGAAAAGTTGTACACACACTTGTGGTCTTCATCCTCACTTGAACACTTGGGCCAGATACAGGAAATACGTCATATAATTAGTCAAGTGATCAAGTGCAATGACCGCAAGTGTGGGTATTTGGACAAGGCAAATCTCTCAAACTGCCGCCAACGAGTGGAACACACCAAACAAACTAGCCCGACCGTCGCTCACCGTCGGCCCGACGTTGGCCAGCGGCCGACCGTCGGCTTGGTGTGTCCCGGCCTTCAAGGTCCTTTCACAACTCACAACTTTTACAACTGTTCTATGTTTTTTTGTTTTCTGCTGATTTGTTTATGTACTTCTATCTCTCACGCTCACAGCATCGTTTTCATCCCTGTCAACAACTAAATGTGGTGCAACCCTGAGTCTGGTCTGCTAGTGCTGTTTGATGACATAGTGTTTCATAACAAACTAGGTAGAGCTTTCACTGTGAATATTATTTTTGGAAATTCGCCCACTGCTAAACTTTCTATTTATATTGCTTTTGCCAGATTGAGTATGATCACTTCTAAATCTGTTAGATTAATATTGTCAAAGAATTTTGCATACTTTTGAATTGTGGCTTGTCTAATAATGAGCCATAAATAACGGAGTCAATGTTAATTTACCTTTTTTTAATTGGCATTATTTAAAAAATATATATTTTAGATAAGTTGCTGCTCTCAAAACAGCTCATCAACAGGCAGTACCCTTAAAGGAACACCTTTGTACCTTATTTACCCCTAAAAGGTTCATAGTAGTGCCTTAAGTGTAGGCTACATATTACCACTCTAATGCCAAATTTATAGAAAGGTGGCATGAAAGTGCTTCTGAAGTGGCATTTAGGTGTCTTTAAACAGACTCTTTGATGCTGCTCAGTGGTGGCGTAAATGCATTTACACAGAGATTACAAATGTGCAAAGTTGTCCCTTTAAGAATACTGCTCCACTCACAAGCTGTTTTATTTTTGCACTTTTTTTTATAACAGGATATGACAGTTTATCACCATGTTTTTGCTTCTCTTTTTTTGTTGAAGACTTTCTTATGAACATCTCTGTAGGTTTAATTTCTAAGCACACATGTATGTATGCAGACATTTAGGCATACTGCCAGGGAAAATGACAAGCAAGGGCATGTTTCAGATCACTATGTATCATTATAGATTCAAATGCAAACTCAAACACCCGCTTCCCTTCATGCTCTCCAGCAAGATCACTTTTCTGC